CCTCAGAAACAAGCCAGGAGCCCGAACTGTTTTTCCCGTAGGCATAACTCACTACGGGCTACAAGATGCACGAAACCCCGATTGAAAAGCGCTCCCGCACCTTGGAAGGTTCCCTAGTTAGTCAAAGAAGTTCTCTCGTTAGTCGATTATCATTCTAGTCCACCGAAGTTGCTAGTAGAATAAAAAATTTGAACACAATAAAACCATGTTTGTGATTCCAGTCGACCAAAAAAATGATCGATAGTGTGAATAAATGTACGAATATAATTGAACACATGTAAACATCTGTATTATATACTTTTAGTTCTCATTATTATATAAATTATATAACAATTGAAACAATAAATGGACGTTTATCAAATCGTAATATGACTGAAGCTGATCTTATCGAACTTGCATCATTAGCTGATGAATTTTCTCAACTTAAAGTTCGTGATGATGAATTAGATGAACTTGATTTATTATATAATAATCAATGTCATTTACCAGTTAAAGGTGGTGTAGAAAATGTTCATGGAAAAACAAATATTCTTATGCAAGCATATATATCACGTGCACAATTAAAGTCATTTTCATTAATATCAGATATGTCATATGTTAATCAAAATGTTGTTCGTTTAATACGTGCTTTATTTGAAATTGTTCTTAAACGTGCATGGGCTATATTATCATCACGTTTACTTCGTTTAGCTAAAATGGTTGAACAACGTATGTGGGATACAATTAATCCATTATGGCAATTTTCACAATATATTAATATTGAAATTTTACAAAAATTAGATGCAAAACAAATGACACCAGAACGTTTATTAGATATGGATGCAAAAGATATTGGTATTATGATACATAATGCACGTTTAGGTAAAGAAATTAAAGCTTATGCATCATATATACCTATATTACATATTGAAACACAATTACAACCAATAACACGAACAGTATTACGAATAAAATTAACTATAACAGCAGCATTTAAATGGTCGGATAAAATTCATGGTACAACAAATCAACAATTTTGGATATGGATTGAAGATCCTGATACAGATAATATATATCATTCAGAATATTTTATTATAACAAAAAAACAAGTTAAATTAGAAGAACCACAAATAGTTATTTTTACTATACCAATTATTGAACCATTAGCTAATCAATATTATGTACGAACTATTAGTGATAGATGGCTTGGTTCTGATACAACAACTATTATTTCATTTCATAATTTAATTTTACCCGAACGTCATATGCCACATACAGGTAATTTTAAGAGAAATGTTATAGAAAAGTATTCGTATCTTTTTTTTTCTTCTTTTTATTGAAATTTTCCTTAACCATAAGTTTTACTGTAATGATTGACGAATTGCAAAGATTATATTGATATATCTTCTAATTTTTGATAGATTAAGTAGTTCATTCTTCATTCGGTTTTCTCTCATGAATGATAATATTTTATATTGACTTTGAGAAAAGCTAACAACGGAAGTCGTTCAACTAATTAATCGATTTTGAGTCGAGATTATGTGCGTCATGTAAACCTCAATGAGTTATATATATCCTCGAAATAATTCGGACTGTTAACTTATTACCCATGTCTTACGATAAGAAACAAAGAAAAAATGTGAAACTTTTACACTAAACTACTCACATCAATATCTATCTTTAAATTACAGAAAAAAAAATGCGATATCTTCATCGTAATCAGCTAAAGATATTTACAAGATGCCTTTAGCTTCTATTCAAAAATCTATTAATCAGTAGAATGACCTTTACTCAAAAGTTAATATTCTTAATATATTTTTTTTTTATAGAATTATTGGATTTGGATCCATTACCAGTCACAGCATTGGGTAATTCTGAATATGAAGCTTTATATAAATTTAAACATTTTAATCCAATTCAAACTCAATTATTTCATTGTTTATATCATACAAATAATAATACATTACTTGGTGCTCCAACAGGTTCAGGTAAAACTGTTGCAGCTGAAATAGCTATGTTTCGTGTTTTTAATAAATATCCTGATATGAAATGTGTTTATATTGCACCATTAAAAGCGCTTGTACGCGAACGTATACAAGATTGGAAAGTACGTTTTGAAGAACGTCTTGGTAAAAAAGTTATTGAATTAACAGGTGATTTTACACCTGATACACGTGCTATACAACTGGCTGATGTTATTGTAACAACACCAGAAAAATGGGATGGTATGAGTCGTTCATGGCAAACACGTTCCTATGTTAAACAAGTTGTTTTATTAGTTATTGATGAAATACATATGTTAGGTGAAGATCGTGGTCCAGTACTTGAAGTTATTGTTTCACGAGCAAATTTTATATCTTCACATACAGAACGACCACTTCGTATTATTGGTTTATCAACAGCTGTTGCAAATGCTCGAGATTTAGCTGATTGGTTAGGTATAACAGGTACAATTGGTTTATATAATTTTCGACCAAGTGTTCGACCTGTACCATTAGAAGCACATATTCAAGGTTATCCAGGCAAACATTATTGTCCACGTTGTATGTCAATGAATAAACCAGCTTATAAAGCTATACGTACACATTCACCAAATAAACCTGTTTTAATATTTGTTAGTAGTCGAAGACAAACACGTTTAACAGCTGAAGAATTAGCGAAATATTTATTAAATGATGATAATCCAAAACAATGGTTACATATGCCTGATTATGAAATGAATAATTTATTAGCACAAATACAAGATAAAAGTCTTCGATTAACATTACCATTTGGTGTTGGTATTCATCATGCTGGTTTAAAAGATCGTGATAGACATATTGTTGAAGAATTATTTGTTAATCAACGAATTCAAATATTAGTTGCAACGGTAAAAAAAAAAATCAATAAAAACATTTTGTTTTTTCTTCTATTTCTGACTTATATTTGTCTATTATAGTCAACATTAGCATGGGGTGTTAATTTTCCAGCACATCTGGTTATTATTAAAGGTAATTGTCTAATGTAGAGATTTTTGCATTCGAAATAGTAAACAATATTTATGAATTTATTTGAAGAATTTCTAATTCTGGAAAGAAATCTATGTATATTGATCATTTTAAATTAGAGATGCACGAATTATTTCTGGATCGTAGCTTTAATGACGTGTATTTTTCATATTGTAGACAGGCATCTAATTTTCATTCTTGAAAATGGCTTTGTTTTGTTCCCTAACCTATATTTTGTTTTTCGGGAATAATTTGTGTCGTACATCATCCGATGTACTTGTACATGCTGATCCCAGGAACCGAAACTATTTTGGAAATTATGTTATGTTGAAAATCTCATATTTATATTCAGAAACATTTGTATTAACTATGTTGATAGAGCTTAGATCGACGAATTGTTTGAGAGAGTCTGGATTATGGCTGAGAGTAGTATGCTTATTTTACTAATGAGGGAACCTTCCCAAGTGATACTCTCGGTTTGGACTCATATTTTGCCTATATGTAGGACTCATACCGTAGGTAAGAGCCCTAAAAGGGTTTGTGCTCATAGCCTGTTGTTGTTGAGATATTACGTTTTTAAGGTATTGAAATAACTCACTACCGTGGTCCCCCTCAGGAACATGAGAAAAACTCATTTGNATATTTAATTCAACTATCTTTCGTACGTTAAATCAATTATTTTAATATCACACGAAAGGCGTCATTATAAGAAATAATTATCTATATATATGATACGTACTGAACAACATCCGTAGTCGATAATGAGAATGATCCAAAAAAAAATACATTTTACTCTTTGTAAGAAAAAACAAAGAGGAATCAAGTCTCTACAATATTGCATTACACCACTACATCAAAAACGAAATTAATGCAGAACTTTTACCTCACTTCCCGCTGTAATCAAATATTATCAATTTAATTTTTATCATATATCCATTTCTGTGATCTATTCATATACATATAAATGCCCACTTTCTCTTATACACACACACTTTAAAAAAAAAAGAAGAAGCAAAAAAGAAAACGCGCAAGCACATATTGTTTCATATAATCGAAGTATTTGTTTAAGTTTAAATACTTTCAGATCAATAATTGGACAATAAATGTAATATAAAAAGAAGCAAGACTAGGCAAAATATGATCAAACTAAGTTGGCCTATTTATTAGAAGAATAACGTCGAAATGTTGATACTGTTGGACTTGTTTCGTCAGAACTATTTCGTTGAGATGAAGGAGATATTGTCTCTGTTGTCGTTGTCTGATTGGAACTGCTCATTGTCGATCTACGAAAAAAAAAAAACGAAAATTTCAAATTTTTTGTTTTTGGTAAAATAAAATATTGAAAACAAAATTCATGCAAAAATAATTATCTAAAGTCAAAAATTCAAGCAATTAAAACTACAAGAGTAAACGGAAAAAGCCAACCTTCTAATCAATGAAACAGAAATAAAAAACATGTTAAAATGCTTATGAATATAATAAACATAATAAATTTAATCGACGATTGAAATTCTTTGTTAAACTTCTTCAAATCTTCATATGAACTAATTTGAACAAAACTCGTATATTAATCATTTTATGTTAGGAAAACAAAAGGAAAATTCTATAGAAGTATATTAGTTTTTCTAGTAACTATATTAATCAAAACACACATTTATGTCAACTAATTTTATATTACCTGTCACCTACTGATAAGTTCTTTGATGTACGAGGCATATTGCTAAACGCCTAGAAAGCCAGGACAAGGACAGACACATACATGTTTATTAATAAATATATACGTATAAGATATGCATCAAAGGAAATATAAAAGAAAGACATGCGTGTATACATATAAAATGCTATAATAGGCAAAAAATTACTTTAAACATAGACAGTTCGATATTTCACATGCATAGAAAAATTATAATAATTATTTATTTGAAAGATTTGAAAATAGGCTTTGTTTTTCTATATTTGCATAGGTTATCAGACAAGCTATGTCAATTTGATGGTTAATTTAAGTCTCGTCATCTAACGTATATTGTTTATTGATTTGGAAAACAGAAAATCATTCCGAGTAATCGCGTCTTGTTTACTGATGTGGATATAAAGATTTCACAGTAATTTAAGCAATAAAATAACAGTTATTTGTTTTTAATGATACAATATCAATCTAAAACTTTCTAACAATATGAAGGTCATTAGTTTCCTGTGATATACGAAACAGCTGAATTAAAATAGGAATTCTTTATAAGACCATTTGTAATATAGGAAACTTAATAAAAAATTATATCACAATTGGTAAGAAAATTCTCTCTTTTTTTTTTCTTTCGTCAGTGATATATACTTATTTCAAATATCGAACTATCTAAAGATCATTTCTTGTTTCGATTTGTTTTTTCAAGGTTTCGACTATTTATAATAGAAAAAAATAAAGCTAAATTATTTACCGAATGATGTCCTTTTTGTTCTTTAATTTCTGCATAAAGTTCAACAAGAATATTTTTTCGATTTTTATTGGTTGCAATACTAATAGCTGTTTGTCCATTCTAAAATAAAAAATTCGTCTTAATAAGCAAATTCAATTATTTATTACATTATCGACAATGTCAATATCACATTCAGGTCTTGTTAAAAGTAATTTAACAATATTTAATGATCCATGTTCAACAGCACACATTAATGCTGTTGATCCTTCGGAGTCTTGTAAATTAACAGCTGCACCGTTTCCTAATAATAATTCAACCAAATCCGCTTTACCATGTTTAACAGCAAGCATTAATGCTGTTTGACTACCCTAAATGATAAGAAATTTTTTATTATTGTTTTTAAATAATCAATAATAATAAATTTATATTTATACATCTGTTGTTTTAACATTCAGATTTCCAGATTCATGAAATAAACGATGAACGATTTTTCGTTGATCATCATTAGCTATATCAATCACTGCAGCCATCATTACAGCTTAAATTATAAATATATATATATAGATGTATAATTATTCTCTATGAAAACAAACGAAAATATTTACCTGTATATCCAGCATTATTTTGTAAACAAACATCACATACTTTTGTATCTAATAACATATTAATAATATGCCAATGACCATTAGTAACACAATAATGAAGTGCTGTATTTCCCTAAAAACAAAAAGGTTGATTTCTTTTGTTCTTTTTTTTTGTTTTTTTTTTACATTTGCATCTTGTAAATTAATAATACGTTCGAGTAAAAAATTTGAAAAATTTTCTTTGATACTATTCAAAAATTTTTCAATTAAACGAAAATTAACTTCTTTTTGACTCGATATACGAAACCATTCTTGTTGAATTAATTGAAAACAATTATTCTATGAATATAGAAAATTTTAATTAAATATACAAAAAACAAAAAATCAATTTAAATTTTACCACTTTTTTCTTATCAGCATTAGTATCAAATAAAGATTCATTAACAATAGCACATGCAATATAAAGTTCTTCATCAAGTTCAAATCTATTTATATAAATACATATATATTTTTTTTATTCTATTAATTAATTTATATAACATACTCTTCGCCTGTATCGGATGATATTGTCATTGGTTTTGATGCGAATATTCTTAAACCAGATTCATCATATGCTGATGATAATGTAACTTCATAGTTTTCTTCAAATTGTTGTTCATTACTTGCCGCATCTCGATTTGAATATGGAGTAATACTTGATGAATATGTACCTATTTTTATACTCGGTTCACCAGAACCAAGTATACGTCGAGATTCAAATGTTGTAGTTTTACGTATAATTGATGGAGATAATTGAGTTATTTCTTCATGTTGTTGAATATGTGTTCCAGTACTGAGATTATGAATATTATAAGCATATTTCTAATTTTAAATCTTAAGCATACCCGAATTGTTGTTGCTCCTTTTTTAATGAAGCAGAGGCACTATCAGCATCAACATTATATCGATGATGACCACCTCTAGATAAATAAGCATAATAAAGCTTACTACAATTAACTATTCATAGAAGATCATATGAATAATATATTTTCTCTAATGACTATCGAAATTAATCAAAACAAGAAAGCATTAATAAAGCATATGAATATGTCTTATTAATATTTCGTTCTAATATAAAAATTCTTTAGAAAACAAAAAAAAAAAACCTTGATTTGACAATTAAAAGTTTTATTATCAAGATATTATCATTTAAATCTAACGCCTACTTTGAAATATCAATTGTAAATAAGCAAAAACAAATGTTTATTTATACAAAGAAGTTTCTTGTTTGTCTTATTATTTTATATTTTACCTGTCAATTATAGTTTTTACTGTTTGTCCATCTTGTTTACGTTTAGCTTCAGTTACTGTCCATTCTTCACAATAAGAACTATCATCTTCACTTGATGGTATTTTTGTTGATGATAAATCATTATATTTTTGTACTATTGTTGATTGTGGACTAGTTGCAGCAATTAAAAAATTTCCATCATGTGGTTTTTTAAGTGTTGATACAATTTCATAAGATTCTTCAATAACTTCTTCAGGTGATTTTGATCGTTGAATTTCTTGTTCTTGTTGTTTAATATCATTATTACCTGATGTTCTTGTCCATTCTGTTGTTTCACTTTTAATAATTTTTTTATCAAAATTATCAAGTTTATTTTTACAATGTATTTCTTCAATTTGTTGATTATTTTGTTTTGTTTCTGTTATTATTGTTGTTTCATATATTTCTTCTGTTGTACGTTTTTCTAATGGTAAACGAAATGTAATTATTTCTTGTCGTTGTTCTTCAATTGTATCTTCATCATCAGATTTTAATTGATGATCAATATAACCAACATGACGTTTAGTATCAAATAAATCTGTTTGAAGTCCACATTCAAATGTTTTTGGTCGACCATATAAAGAATACCATGTTAATTCTTCATGTTTATCATCATTTATACGTACATCATAATCACCTGTTTCTTTTGAATACATTATTTTAGGTTCTGTATTAACAGCTAAATCACGTAATTGTTGACGTTCAGTTATTGTTGAACGATCAGTTGAACGTTTAAAATCTGTATTAGATAAATTATGACGTAAATAACCAAGTTGATGAAATATATCAAGTTCTGTTGATGTTGTTTGATGTTTAATTGTAGGTTGTTCTTGTACAGCCTAAGAGCAAAAATAAAACAAAGAAATAAATCATTATCTTAAAATTTCAAAACAATATGATTTCTTACTTGTACACCTGTATGATGTTGTTCGGCTGGTGGAAATGTATTTGATGATACATCATGTTGTATAATGGGTATGGATTGTGTTTGTGCATCAATATGTATAGTTTGTATTAATGGTGTTGTTGTGGAAAAATTATCTCGAATAGAGATCAATGTACGTGTATCAGTTGATACATGACGTGAAAGTAATTCAGGAGGTATATCATGTCCACTTGCACGATCATAATATGAAATCAAAGATATTGTATCAGTTGATATATCTCGATTGTATGTTGTTTCATTTAAACCACAAGCTGTATCTTTTTGTGTTATTAAATTAAGAGTGTCTGTAGCAACTTGTCGTGTTGATGGTTTTGATGGAGGTTTTGGTGGTTCACTAAATAATAGATAGATAATTTTATAATTGAAATTTATCAAAATTAATAATCTATGTGAAAGAGAAATAAACGAAAAAATGAGTTTGATAGTAATGAAAATTTCTTTTGTTTTTTTTTTTTCGACTTTTTAATTTGAAAATTGATTATATAATTTAATAAGATATGATTAAAACAGACACTATTAATTAATTAATCTAAGTCAAAAGTTGAATAATAATCAACTTATCGTGTAGAGGGTTTTCATGTTAATGATTAAAATTTTTTCAAGAAAGATTTGTCTTTGAATAGATCAGAAGAATTATATTTTTCCTACGTAGGGCTAACCAAAAGTTCTAAGCCCTGTGTTTGAAGGATCTTGTCGGATAAGGTAACCTATTCATGAATGAGAAACCAAGTATACCATATTGTAGAGCATTTTTAGGCGCATCGAACAGTATAGAGTAAATCCTGTTTTCATAAAACTTTGAAGGAACTAGAGTCAATTTACTAGTAAACGACTACACGCTCACATCGATACCGACAGTTAAGCATGATATAATACTGAATATTGTGGTCTTCGATTTTAGTCAAAAGTATTTGTAAAATATTTTTTCTTACATATGATTTTGTAGAGTTTTTGACAGGTTAAAACCTTATATACGTAGCATCTTCGATCAGTGTGGCTATCGGTGAATGTGATTGTAGGTGTGTAGTGGTCCATCCGTAAATTCGCTCGAATTCCTTCAAAGTTTTATGAAAACAGAATTTATTATATACCATTCCATGCGCCTGAAAATGCTCTACAATATGGTATACTTGGTTTCTCATTCCTGAATAGGTTACCTTATCCGACAAGGTCCTTCAAACACAGGGCTTAGAACTTTTGGTTAGCCCTAAGTATTATATCACGTTTTCTATGTGTTAATATAGAACTTACATAGTATTCGCAAAAGCACCAAATTCTCTTGTTTGTATATGTTGTGTATTGGTAGCACGATCATTTTTTTGTATCGGCTCAGGTGCAAACATAATTGCTACATCACGTTGACATATTTCAGGTTTATAATCAAAATTAACATGAGTACCAACATCTCGAAAATGTTTATCTGGTGTAATATTAATTGAAACACCAATTGCAACATCACGTTTAGTAGGTACATCAGGTATAGCTTCCATCCATACATCACGTTTTTGAATAAATTCATCTGTATTACATTGAAGATTAACATCACGATGTGCAACAGGAGCTGGTAATGTTGGTTGAAGATGACATGTTAATGCAACATCTCGAACTAAATAAATACATATGTATGTAAATCTATCATCGATAGAAATTTACCTGATCGAAATGTATCTGTAACAAGTGCTCGATCTTGCATTATAGGTTGACATTGTGTATTAACATGTCGTTGTTGTTTTGGTTCCGTTAAACGTTCAATATCTTTTTCTTGTTCAAGTATTCGTTCTTCAAGAAAATAAATACGTTCTGTATAAAAATTTTTAATTTCTTCTAATTTTCTTCGAACAATTTCAATTTGTTTTTCTTCATCTTCATCATATTCAGTACGATGATTAATAGCAACATCACGTTGTTGTCGTTGTTTAGGTGGTAATGGTGGTGGTTGATCTTGTTCAACAATATGTTGCATAGCAACTTCACGTGTTAAAGGTTTTTGTTGAGTATGAATTTGTTCATGATTTGTTAGAATTGTAATTGATGTTGTTTTTTTTTCAGGAATTTTATGAACTAAATATTTATTATTTTCAATATAAGAAACAAAAAAAAAAAAAAAAGGAATTTTGTTTTTCTTACTTGTTTGATGTTTATATCGATCGATTTCTTTCAATAAAAGTTGTTTTTCATCTAATAAAGTTTTACGTTCTAATTCGAGTCGTTCGATTTCACGATTACGACGTTCAATTTCTGTTTTATCTGTTATTGTTATAACAGTTGTTTTTATTGGTTCTGGTACACGTATAACTGGTTTTGCTGGTACAATTATTTCTGTTATATACAATGGTTTAAGTGGTTCTTTTGGACGATCATCTGGTTCTGGACTTGATACACGAAGTGTTGTTTCAGTTGAAAGTGAACTTGAACTACTTGATCGTGAAAATGGTGGTGGTGGAATTTTATAAAGCATTGTTATTGGACCACTACTTGTCATATCAATTTTACGTAATGAATTCATTGTTTCATCTTGCATAATATTAAGACGAGGTGCTGAATGTGTTCTTGTTGTTATTGTTTTTTCCATTTCCATACGATGTTCATATAGACGACGTTCTTCAGCTGTACGTGATGCTGATGATATTGATGATGATGATGTTGGTGGTCGAGGTGGTGGACGAAGATGACGACGAGAATCCACTGAACGTGATCGTTGTTGATGAATATGTCCAGAATTAATTGATTGATTTTTATTACCAACATGACGATGACATTCTGTTTCAAGATCTTTAATATCTTTTTCAACAATACGATCAAGTTCAAGAATTGTTTCACGTATAATATCATTATCAAATGATGATGAATTTCTTGTTGATGTTGAAATAGGCTTTGTTTGAATAGGCTTAAAACACAATATATATATATATATATACGTTTATATTGAATAAAAATATTTTATATTAATTATTAAAAACTCACAAGACTATCATCAAGTAGATTAATATTGGATTGTATTTTATATGGAAATAAATAAATATCATCCGAAAATGAACTACTTTTTATTGATGGTGAAGTTAGAGAAGTACTATAACTTGTATAAGAATCTTCATAGAGTAACATCTTCTCTTCAAAAATTGGTTTTTTGGTTTTCTTTTTCTTCTTATGTTTAATAAATAATAAATAAAGAAGAAAATGACTGATAGAAACATTTGCTTTTACTTTCTATTCAATAGGGAGAGAGAGAGAGATAGAGAAGAAAAAGAAAAAACCCAAGGGTCACAGATGGACACAAGGTAAAAGACAAAAAAAAACTTTTTTGTTTATTTTACCATAAATTATTCTATCTTTATCAAACATAAATTGCAAGGACACAGGCAAGAAAAACAAAAAACAATCCTTTTTTTTCTTATTTTTTTCTTTTCGTATTTTTTTTTCTTATATTTAATATTATCTTAAACTCGTTAATACCTGTTGTTCATTAATAAGACGATGTCGTACATCATGTCGTTTTCGTTCGATTTTTTTCAATGTTCGTAATACATCAGATCCATACATATCGTCGAGAAACTTCATAAAATCAGTATCAAGATGATAACCATACGGACAACATGTACACCGAATATCAGTCATACTTGTTTCGAGATCACTAACACCCGACTCCGACGTCGTCTCTAAATATACAAAAGACAATCATGCATTTATTACAGTTACCTCCCTCTTTCTTTCTCTCATTATTCATTAATAAAAAAAAATAGAAGATAAAAACAGAATGATGATCAAACATACGATTGACAGCTTATATCACCATGTGAGTGTACATTATTTATCAATACTGTCACAATCTATTTTATTTATTACTTGTATTTTTTGTGTTTTTTTTCCTAGAAGCCGCATAAATAGAACGTAAAAAGTACGAACACAAACATTATTGGTCTAGCTGAGTTTTTTTTTAAGCTTCGATCATATATTTTTTTGCTCTTTTCGTATAAATAAGATAAATTGGCTAAAAATGATTTTTTAATTATATAAACTTCTATTAAATTCTCATTAAGAATATAATCCATTTCGAAAGTGATCATGTCTTTTTTTTTTTATCTAAATCTTATATATATTTAATTAATTTTTATAAAACTCACTTCGCATTTGATGAAAACGTCGGTGGATTCGTCGTTTAACAAGTTCCATGGTCTTATGCAAAAAGAAATTTCTCTTGTCTAACAACTTCGTTATACAGACTAATGGGCCGTTTGGTTGTTATTCTTTCTTGGTTATTTCTCTAACTTGATCTCTCTTTCTCTCTTTCTCTCTGACTTAACAGATGAGGATCTGACAACACAACAAACAGTAATAGCGACAACAACAACATAGAAATTCCAGTCGAATACGAGCAATAACGATTATAATCAATGGTTAGAAAAGATATTCATCATTATCATCATCATCATTTCAGAAAGGGCAGTTAGAATAGACAGTTGGCACATGTATGTAGGTGTTTTTTTTTCATAGAGAAAAAGATAGCACAGCTAGTATTACTAGAAAGAAAACACAGGAAGAGTTGCTAATGTGATAATATCTTGCTTACTAGTCTTGTCTACTGATAAATGGAGGAGAACAGACAATTGTGTGGCTCATTGCTTATAGCAAGTGTATATCACATGCGTGCGTGCCGTTCAATACATCGATAAAATCAAATGTATATGTTTACCGGACAGAGTTAAAGACAAAAAGGATATGCCGACGCGTGTAGCGGTCACGTAGTTGGGAAAATCAGCATGGAAGTGTGCTCTTTAAAAGCAGATGTGTGATATTATCTCACCGAAATATCGATCATGTCCAAGAAAAAAAAAATCATTATCATTCTTATAAATTGCATATGAAGGAAATTCATAAGAAGAGTCAGTCTTTTTTGTTTTTCTTAATCAAAAAAATAAACAAAATTCTATATTCTCGTCATTAACATTCAAATAGTAGTTTCATTTTTTTTTTTATTTAAAAATAAGATTAAAATCTATAATCTAATCTATCAAAAGAAGAAAACAGAAAAAAAAAAGCAAACTAATCATATTTAAATAAATTTTTCTTTTTATTACCTGTCATAATACTTCAATAAATAAGAATTAATATTTCACGTCGAACATCAATATTAAAAATTTCGAAGAATATTCAACAGTCTCTTACGTTTTTGTTCTTGTTCACTATTGGCTCAATTAAATTAAAGTGTTCGTTACTTATTATTTTCTTATTTTTTTTGTTGTTGTTGTTGACTACTCAAGTTTTTCAATCATCGCGTTAAGTAGTAGTAGTAGTAGTTACATTATGCTATTCTTCTTCTTGTTCTTTTTCTTTCTTTATATTGAAATAGATTTCATTTTTTTTTTTTTTTTTTTTCGCTTCTTTTTCTTCTTATGCTATTAACACAACACAAGAGCCTCAAGAAAAAGAACATACACAACAAACGAAATGAAAACGAAACCAAATGCATAGATGAGAGAATATAAGTGATACTTGTTGATCATATTTACATTGTCTCAGTTCAAATTTTTTACTTTATTCTCTTGATTATTTTCATTTATTTAAAAGAAAAACAAAATATTTATCTATCTCTTTATAATCAATCCGATAGAAACAATGATTGCATGTTGACTATATATATATATATCAAAATAACAGTTCATCGGTAAGTCATAATCAAATACAGTACTATCTTTTACACATGTGATCATGTCTATACCTATTGCATCATTATATATGATGACACATAGACATGCATAAACAAGCGATCATCACTCTGTCACGAAATATGTTCATTATAAATTTTCTTTGAAAGTGAGACCACCTGTTCATAACTCGAAAAGGATATGTTACACATCGGTCTTCTTCTTTTTATGATAATTAGATTGCTAGTTCATCGATGTATATATATATATGTATGTGTAATAATCAATGGCATATGGTATGTTATTTTTTTTTTTTTGACGATGTTCATTTACCAATAGATACTTACGAGAATATTAATTATGCTTATCAATATAAAAGTGAGAATGCTTCTGTATTATTGATCAAAGATTCGATCCATTCATAGATTGATTATGAACTAAGATAAACATTGATAGTAAAGGAATTGTTGTCAAATGAACACTATCTATATATATATTATCGTCTTGTTTTTTCAAAATTTTATCTTCATTGTATTCTTCTAAGTTAATATGATTATTAATAAACTTGTTAAAACTCTTCATTAACGACATATGCTGTTCGACATAACCAAGACAATTGTCTCTTCTTCTCCTTTCTGTCATTCCTTATTTATTTTCTTTCATGACGCATACTTAACAAGTCTGTTAAACAAAACACTAAAATCGAAGTATAATAGACTTATAATCAACTTATATATATATATGTATTATATATTCCTATGATAAACAACAAAAAAAAAACCATATGAGTGTATCGACTAACAATTATTCTTATTTCTAAGCTTTCAATAAATATACGATGACGTGACTCTATACAAGTGCTTATACTTACCACTCATACTGCTAGCATCAGCGTCAATGGCAGTGTCGTCTTTACCGAAACATCGATGATGATGATGATGACGGTGATGACGATGTTGCTGTCGATGTTGATTGTCTGCAACAATTGTTCGTCTTTGTTTCTCCCATGAATGTTGGACTTCATAGGTATATTCTTTCATGGTCGACAAGCAACAATTAATAATCAATGCCGATGTAAATTATCTATACAAATAACAATAATTATAGTAATTAATGTATTTTACTAGAACGAAATATAAAATGATGGAATAAGATTGAATGTATATGTATATACATATATATCTATGTGTGAAATAATAAGAATGAAGTTTCTTTTTCTTTTTCATATTATGTTATATAATAGATTCTTTATATTAAGATTGGTAGATGAATGGATATTGTTTTTGTTTGAGTATAAAACTAGTCTATTGAATTTTTTAAAATGTAATATTATTCAAATATTATTTTTTTTTTAATGAAATAAATTCTTTGATTAATGTATTGAATAGAATTAGATTTCATTGATAATAATAACATTTGAATATGAAATTTTATCATATTTATATATTCTACAATAAACAAAAAAAAACACAATACAAGCTTTGTTATACTGTCTTTTTTTCCGTTAAGACTCTAAACTAAGTAGGGATAGGATCAATTCGGTTCTACAAAAAAAAAAAAAAACGAGAGAGGCATAGAAAATAATCTTATCTATGTAGTAATTGATGGAGAAATAACGATAATTTCCATGTGAATATAAAATAAAATTATTCAAATATCTATTCAATAATGATAAGATCACAATAGTCATATGAAAATTTAATATGCATGAAGTTAAAAAAACATTTAATGAACCTTGATAAATATAAACACATTGAAATAATTACAGTTATTTATGTAGTATAAATAATTATTGATTTGAAGATTGACTATGAAAAAAATATTTTATACAAACTTATATTTTCTTTTTCTATAAAATAATAATTTTGTATTCATAAAACAAATTCAGTCGAACGTTTATTTTAATTGAAATAACAGGTAACTTAATTTAGTTACTAGATGATGAAGAAGAAGAAAATGCAGCCATTTTATGGGCTTACAAAGGATTAAGAACAGCAAAAGAAATTCAGAGATGTTTTATCCCTTGATGTCTAGAATGTTTGACGTAGTTAAATACGAAATAGACAATAAAAAAAAATAATTGAATGGTTCGTTCAAACTTACAAAATACAATCATTTATTACTTACCTATCCTAGAAAGAAATAGAATTCTTTAGTTATGAAAACTATCTTAGTTATATAACGTCTGTACTATATAAAAGAGGATAAGTAAAAAATGAAGTTCTATAAATAATCAAAGAAGACATTGAATGAAAAAGTTTGTTTAAATATCCTGCGAAGAAAAAGTAATCGAACTATACACAAGTAATATTTATGTGGTTAACAGTTTATTTTAAGAACAGGTACATTGTATCATAAAGAAAAAAAAAATCTAAATAATTCGATTGATATGGATATAGAGATATAGGAAGAAAAGAGAGAAATCATTGATATACATATATATACTTTCTCTTCTTTCATCATTGTCACTTCGAGTACAGAAAAATAAATAAACTATATGAACATGAATAAAAAAAGTGTATATAAGTCTATGTAACAACAACATACTATTCTCTTTCGTCTCTTAAATCAAAGTTATGCTTTACAATGCTCATCTTTTATGTGGAAAAAAAAATCAGCAAATGATGATGATATGTAAAGACCATCAGACCTTGATTTCAAGTTTATTCATCATCAGACATCGTTTTTTTTTGTCCTACATACATACATACTCTTCCTCATTGACTATTTACCTAAACATCCGTTTTTTTTTGTTTCGTTATAACACACAAAAAAGAAAAAGTCGACAAATGAATTTATAACTTAAACCAACCTTTAAAATACTATACACATTGTATATAAATCAAAGCTGATAAAAATAAAACTGAATGATTTTTAAAGAAAATAACGTTGAAGTATATGATACTATGGATTTCATTTTGACTAAGCTGAAGTTGAAAAGAATGTCAGATCGATTTAGTAATTCATTTTTCATACGCATTCTGTTGCGTAAAAAGAGATGAACATCAAAAGAAAAGTAAGTTGCTTCGCTTGACTGTTTTTTTTTCTTTTTATCAAGAAAAGTAAAAGCAAATACTTATGATCAACGATTTCTCAGTCATTCTTATGCGTATATATGTATATACATAACAAAATGAAAATATATGCATGACTACGTGAGTATGCCTTAACATAAAAAACCGCAGGATACTTCTTGGTTTAGCTATGCAACCATACTTAGACCAAGAATGATGTAAAAGAAAAAATTCCTATGCTATATAGTTTTAAATGTTAACACATCGACACCTACTAAAACTACCTTGAACTGTTTTTCTTTTTTTTTTTTTTTGTTGTATATAATAATAATGGTTAAGCTCTCTAAGTCCCATTAAGCGAGAAGTAAATCGAACAAATAAAAGCGAACAATTAAGTCGATAAATACAGTGAATAATGAAGAGTAAAATAGGACAGTCACACCTACCAATGTTGCTAAATCATTTCGTTTTTTTTTCTTTTTATTTGTTCTTTGATGGTAGTAACGATGATAATAATTGAGTAGAGTGAGTGTGAGAAACAATACAGTTTGATCTATGCTCACGTAATTCAATACTATAAATGTATGTAAACGAACACGCGCAAGACGAAAAGAAACGGTTCAATTTCAAGCAAGTGACACACTGAACGAAAGAAACTAATGAGATGCAAATTTGACTATGGCTCTCTTTTATTTTTCCTCGTTTTTTTTTTTTTTTTTTTTTTTCTTCTTCTACTCATTGAAAGTTCGAAAGGTGTCAAATTGAATATTCAATGCACAACTATTCAATATCATGTCATTGTATGTCTACTTGAAAATTGTTTGATAAACATTTTTAGTATATTTGCGTCATCAACCCATAGATTTTACGATTATATCAGAAAATGAATCCTTGAAAAATTCATCTTGAAATTTTCAATCAAAACTTAACACGAGCAATTTACAACAGAATTTTATTTGATTCTTATTAAAATAAAAAAAATAGTTTAACTTTCAAAAGTTCAATTATCTTCAATTAGAATAATTTTATTGAAATTCAATAAAATGAAAACTTACAAAATTGTTTAAAAAAAAAGATTTGATCAAAGACATATACTAATGTATATCATTTTCACCATGAGAAGCTCAATCAAATAAAACTATCAGTAATGAAGACTCATGCATACAATAAAATGAATACGATATTCTTTCTTTTTCTTTCTCTCTCCTAAACAATCATATACTCTATATAAATTGATCAATATAAGAGTTCAAAGCGACTCAACATGACTTCAATTGATGAGTACTTTTGTCTCGAGGACATATCAAAAATGCTTTTTAATAGTTGATTTTCAAATCATATCAATTATTTTTTGATACGAATGAAAAAAAAAGCTCATTTTTATCTTACTGTTGATTGATTTCAATTTCAAAAAATTTATCTGAAACAAAGAAAAAAAAAACGAATATCATCTGTTTGAATATTTAGTAGAGAAACAAACATCGAAACTACTCATCTTACATATATTCAAGATCTATACTGACGTAACTTTCATTTTGTTTGGTTCAGGTAAAGAAGAAACACTCAAGAATAAAGTTAAAGAGAAAATTTGCCTTGTTCCTCTCTAATCTAGTGCACTATTAATGAATCTATCCGCAAAAAAGAAAACTAGAACCTGATCTTTGTTCTTGAGATATTGAAATTTGTCAAGAAAAAGCTGTAGTCTCTCTCAAGTCAGATGACAGTTTCAACTTCAAACTTTTTATGAACAAAATTTTTAATGAGATTAGTTCATTGAGCAAGTTTTAACTTTTCGAGTATCTCCTATTGTGAGATATTCAATATTCGAAATTCTCTCATGTGTAAAAGCAACTTTTCTTCAAACATTTACATTTACCGAAAGGAAATTCTTGTTGTACAATGAACTAATGTCCGCGCCAAAATAAAAGAGGGGTGAGTGTAAGCTCAATAACTCGACAACCGCAATACCTAGCTACCTGCGGTTTTCACCAATCGAAAGAGGAGGAGCGGGCACGTCTTTTTCTTCGATAATGCATAAGACGAAATTCTTTTAAAACTAATGATATTTGAAAAACATGCAAAACAACTCATGAAAATGACCTGTCAGCTAGATGAAATTTTGNTCTAGATCACGAGATGTTCGTGAAACTATCATATAGGTGGCGCTAGTTTTGTGAATATCTCGTGATCTAGGCCTGAGCTCGAAACGGCCAGCGAGATTCCGAACTAAAAAAATTAGCTTGAATTTCTGGTAGAAATTTATCCAATCAATTTGAGGCTGTAAAAACTCGATTTTGATGACTTTTTTCGGGTGAGGGTACGTACTATTTTTTCAGCAATATCCAAGATTGATCGTGGACCGGATCATTCAGCCGGAGGAAAATAGTGATTCTATTGGACAACGCGTTAAGCAATAAATATCGTTGTATTAGTAAACCACCATTAAGAGGAACACAAAAGAAATAGATTTTGGAAATGGTCGTCTCAGTGATGATAAAATAAAATTCAAAATCTAATAAAGAATAGTATGAAATATACATGCAAAAGATACAAAAAAAAAGAAAACATAAGAGACACAGCAAAGTAGAATTATTGAAATATTAAATGATTGCTTAACTTTTTTAAAATATTCTTCGAATATTATTGTTTTTTATAACGATTTTCTAAATCGTGTAATTATACATCTCCATTATATTGAAATATGGAGTGGTTTTTTAAGAGAGATGTCATAATATTCATGCACTAGGTAACAACAAGCTACAAGTTACGATATCCAACAAGACAGATACCTAACTCGATACTCATGTCGGAGTTGAATGTGGATGTGTATCTAATTCTTCATTATAGCCGAATTAACATTCACACTATCATAAAGCACAAAAACTCAAGTGAGTCTCATATTTTAGCTTCAAATAGACTGCGCTGACAAGCTTTTCTCATATGAAATCATTTAGAATAATTTGAATCATGTATTGAAGCGTGAGAAGTTGCCAAACAGTCAAAATTAATTCGTCGTATGTTAACTGAAAAAGAAAAGATAAAGTAGGACAAATTTCAGAGAGAAAAAAGAAAGAAACAAAAATGTTGATACGGGCAATATTGAGCAATCTTTTTTGGCAGCTCCGCATGTTCTGTTACTTCTTCTCCGACAGACGATGCTGTGAGTTGCATTTTTCATTCTGTTATTTTTTCTTCACTGTTGTCAGTAAGTATTCTTGACTTTGACGTGCCACGTCAGTTTGTTTACAACGATTTTCAATTGTCATTATATAATCATATGAATGAGAGAATATGGCAGATGAATTCATTCGACAATTGACACACGACAGTAATCAATTCGAGAAAGAATGGGCGAACATAGCGAGTCGACTGGATCAACTGTTTAGACAATGTGAGACGGAAAATGTTGACGTAGAAATTTTCAAGGTTAAAGCATTGGATGCTGTAGTTGACTATATTCTAGCTGAACCAAATCCTACAGTCGAACAAAGCTGTATCAAAGTTATATTTGTCGAAGCCGTAATCAAACATTGTGCTAGTGAACCCTTACCATCATTGGCGGAAATTGTTCGTATTGTTCGACGTATTCTGGATTGTGAAATGATTTTCAACCAATGGTATCTCAGTTCGATCGAAGCATTTCACTTTAAATTTCAACTTTGTCTATGTTTAACATCAACTCAATCGTACAATCTAATCGAATCTTTATTGCAAAGTTTAAAAAAACATACATTTTTAAATGATCAATCCGATAAAGCTACAGAAGAAAAATGGCAACATTATATTTCGCGACGAATATTTTCACCTTTGTCATGTGATTCGAATAAATTAAATGATGAAACGACAATGCTTGCAATGCGACCAATCTTTCAGCAGATTTTTCGGTGAGACAAATGAATTGTTTTGTTTCGGCTGAGTGATTGAAATGTTTCTGGATAAATCTTTAACAGTACTCTTCTCAACAAATTCTGATTTTCTTCCTTGTTGTATAGACATGCAGCTCATTTGTCCCATCAATCACGTGTCTGGGCATCGATAATATATGTTTTTACGCGAACATTACCGACTTTATTCGATAGTTATGTGAATATAGACGATGCTCAAATCGATTTTTCGCTATGTGTTGAAGAACCAATTTCAACTGATTATATTCTATTTATTTCAAAATCGTACAATCGAAATCCGCATTTGATCAAAAATAATTTTTCTCAGGCATTATTGGTCATCGAGCGTCTTCTCTTGGGACATCATATTCGAGAAGTACGCTACTTTATTGATGAAGCGATATTGGCTCATATGGAAACGGTTGTCGATATAGAAGCATTAGTTCAAATGTTTGTTCGTGTGTGTCCATTGATTCCGATCAATCATCGAAAAGAATCATGTAAAGAAGTTATTTCGAATATCACCTACAAGTTAGGTCGAATGAAATGTTCAAAAAAATTGGCCCCACTTTTCTTTGATTTTGCTCTAATTCTTCTCGATTTATGCGTTCTTGAAGCACCACAATGCGCCGTATATTTACTTGAAAAGAATGATTTCTATCCGTGGAAAGATTTGGCACCGCGTTTTACTGATCTTCTTCGTTTGTGTTCGACTTATGACACGATCGTGGTGGAAAAAACTTCTAGTGAACTCAACTCCCTCGTTACTATCCTTCGATTGGCAGTGGATCGAGCTAAAGCACATGCGATTATCTATCGATCGACACACAAAGAAGCTTTGCGAGCTATATCTCGATGGACTTATACGACTGATAGTGATAATAATAATAATAATAATAATAATACTCATAAAATATGGTCTAATCATGTTTATAATATGGGACAACCGATGCTCGATTTGATCGATCAACGACAAATGACGATCGATATTTGTACGCAATTGATCGAAGCGCTTCGATTGAGAATTGTTGACAACGAATCAGGAGAAGATGACATACCCATCAATTATACAATGAATTCATTCTTCATCGTAAGTCATTCTTTTCAGTCCAAATTTTCAGAAAATTCTTTTGTTTAGAATATTGCTGCTCAACTAGCAAATTATATAGATCTACTGAAAGTCTTGTCACACGATGCTCATAGTCGATTGGCAACACTCGTTTTCATAACACTATCTCGTCCACTTCGGTATGAAAATGGTCAAATGTCTATGGAATTTACCATCGCCGAGAGACTATGGCATCGTCTTTGTTCCTATCTCACGTATGAAGCTGATGTTCGTCTCTATGAACCGTGCATTCAACGAATACATTCACTTGCTTGTGATGAAGATGAAACAATATTTTTTCAATGGTGGTCAACATTCTGGTGTCATATTACAATGAAAGTACCAGATGTTGCTGCCAATTATGTTGACGATTTCTTTCGAGATGTTTTTGAACATAAGCAAATTGTCATAACATCGTTGTTGCCTGTAAGTAGACAACAGTAAACATTGAAAAAATTCGAACAGTTAGAAAGAATATTCGTTCAGTTGAAAAATGAATCTTATTCGTCAAAGATAGCTTCACTTTCACGACACATGACAATAACTTGTCTTTCAATAGTGAACTTTCTACTAAAAACATTTTCTACTAGATGCTTTCTAGTACATAGTTGGGTTCATTTTTCACAATATATTTTATTTGACGACATAGATGCTATATTCAAAACGACCCGAAACGTACCATGCACGATTGAATGATATCATTGATGCACTTCATAGCAGTGATGTCAACTCTAGCTGTTGGCTAGCTCAAGTGTTTGTCAATATTGCTCAAGAACGTCCGCAATTGATTACATCCACACAAGTTGATCGTGTATTTGCCATTATTCAAAGTCGAACAAACTCTTCACACGATCTTTATTATCTTTTTCAAGGACTCGGCTCTGTAGCCAATGTTGAACCGCTTTTATTTGATCCTTATCGTACTATAATCTTACGCTTTGTTGTAGAATTTCAGAGCGTGTCAGCTATGAAATGTCTTCAACAGTATTTTGTTGCTGCGACTCTCGTACGTGGTCAACAATCAGCCATTGAATATCTTTCAGTTCTCATCGATCTACTTAAAAAGGACACAAACATCACAAATGACATTCGTTCGCAAATTTTTCATAGTTGTCAACTGATCGGAGTCATTAACAAGCAAGCATTGGAAGCAAAGCGAAGCGATCTGATGGCTTTTGATACTTATTCAGATTGTCGAATTTTGATTGATTTTATCGATGGCAAACGATTGACCGACGAATGTCAAGCATCCATCAATAGAACACGAGATGAAGTCGCCCAGATGGAGAAACGAGTGACAAAAACGGAATGCGACGTAGTGAATGTCACGAATCTTGCCAAAGGACAAGAACTCAAAGTAAGGCCTTATTTTGCTCACCAATTCGGTACTATTGAAATCCACACGATGGTGTGAATGTGGGTCTTCTCTTCGATGACGTCCTACACTCACATCTTCTGCAGAGATGATCAACACAAAGTCCCACGTTTATTAGTAGAGCTAGTGTTGCTCGAAATCAACCACTTCTTATGGAACACTTCCTTAAAGTGAACCATAAATGCTCCTTTTTAAATATTCGTCAACTGGAAAAGCCTTCCGAAGATGAACGCTTTTTTTGTTCTACTTTAATTCTTACGTCCTCTCGTGGATATTTAAGAAGGGGATATGTCTGTATATTGAACACTTGAATATTCTTTTCGATTCTATGAAATAGCATGAGTTTTTTAGACCGTATTGTATTGAGTTTAATAGCGAAAGGTGCAGATCTGTCGCTGTTACGAAAAACAAGTCATTGCCGTTTTACTCACTCAGCAAAAATATTGGAGTTTTGCCTTTCTCAACTATTCTGAGTCGTCATGTGATATTGTTATCATGATATGAGTAAGAGAAGAGATAGACAGGTAAGCAGGTTAGACCTGTAAACGTCGACCTATTTGGATCTCTTAGTAGTACGTCATTATTTTCTTCGTCAATAAAATCCTGAAACAGCATCTTTGTTCTCTCATCAATCCTTTTTTAGGTGACGAGTCTTGCTGTGCAAGTCGATGCTGTTGACAATCGCGTGAATGATGTCAGCGAGCAAGTAGCTGCACAAGCACGCGAGATCGAACGTATCGATGCAAAAACTCTAAGTCATGTTCCAGTCGGATGGGGTCGTGAGGTGTGCAAACTTCTAAACCGACGTGCCAACAACGACTGGCGTTTACTCGGCAAACGTTTTGGCTATTCAACCAGTGAACTGCGTCATTGGGCTCTGCAAGTCGATCCGACCATGGCTCTGCTCAACGAATGGTTCATGACACACAAAACTGATGAAGCTACCTACGGTCTAGTAAAGATGCTCGATGAGATCTGTCGAGAAGATGTCACAATAATCATTCGAGACGCAGTAGCTACTATGGGCGATCTTATTCCTGACGACATGCCTTTCGATATCAAACGATTGCCTCCAGTGTTTTTGTCTTATCAGTGGGGCGCGCAACAGGCCGTGTTGAACGTGAAAAGTCATTTGGAAGAAGCTGGCTATGCCTGTTGGATGGACACCAGTCAGATGGGTGGTGGTGACAAACTGTTTGCCAAAATCGACGCAGGGATTCGTGGCGCCAAAGTTGTGGTTTGTTGCATGAACGCGGCTTATGCTCAATCGGAAAATTGTTCACGCGAAGTGCATCTAGCCGTGAGTACCGGTAAACCCTTGATTCCGTTGCAGATGGAGAAACAAAAGTGGCCACCCGAAGGAGCATTGGGTCCTATCATGAGTGAATATCTCTTCATTCGTTTCTTTGATCGCAAAGGTAACGATCCGAATTTCTGGCCCGCGGACAAGTTTAACGAGCTTCTCGGTCAAATTCGTTATCATGTGGCGCCTGATTTTGACATGATCACAGATCGATATCGCAATTGGTTTGTGCCTCGTGTCGATAATCTCATCTTTTTGCAGCCGACGACCAACACGGATAACAATCAAGCGACTAAGAAAGAACAAGTCACTGATGATACACCACTGGTAGTCACGCATCCTCAAGTAATGATCTCCTATCAGTGGGATCGTCAGTCAGACATCATCGCTCTGTACAAACGATTGACACAACTCGGCTATCGATGTTGGCTCGATATCTTTCAGATGGGCGGTGGTGATTCGCTTTTCGAGAAGATTGACGCAGGTATCCGACATGCCAAGTGTGTTCTTGCTTGTGTCACACCAAAATATACACTATCTATCAATTGTCGACGAGAAATGTCTCTCGCCAATGCACTAAAGAAGACCATTGCGCCTCTATATCTGGAAGATACTAGCACTTGGCCTCCGCCTGGTCCGATGGCCATGATATTTAGCGACAAGCCTTTCATTGATTTTCGTCGATCGAATGGCATGTCGGCGGACGCCAATGTGTGGACATCGAAAGAATTTGAGAAAGTCCTTGGTCTACTGAGAGACGCTGTACCTGAAGTGCACACCGAAAAGCCTCAACGATATCTGCTGGAAATGAAAAGACCGACCACAGCAACGGCGAAATGTGAAGTAGCTGATAAGCGTCTTGTCAGGGTTAAAAGTGCACCGGTGAATCCACAAAGTCGAGCTTGCTCGATTATGTAAATACGAATAGTACAATGGTGAACTTCACATGCTTAATGTTTCTATGTGATCGAATGAGCATATTTTGGCATTTAAGAAACTAGATTTTTATATACTTGTTTTGACTGTTATACAGAGTCAAGAAAAGTGTTCAATTCATTATCGTTGCTTCAGAAGGAGCATTAATTTTGAGGAAATTTGAAGTAGAGAAATAATTTTCTTTATCGAAAATCTAGTTTCGTTTGCTCTAGTAATTACATTGTAGTATGTACCAATTTGATTAGGGTGTGGGCGGAGATAAATGAAAATCCAACATCCACACTCACACACTCACATCCACACCCGCACCCACACCCACATCCACTCACACCCCACACCCTAAATAAAAATAAAAAAGTTGTAAAAAACTAATGCCAGTTATACCAAGAACGAAAATAACGACATGTTTCAAAGCAAATAAATCTCTTTCAAAAGTTTTTTGTCGTCTTTGTTTCGAACTACTTGAATATCAATAAAAAGTATAGTAAATAGGGCAGCAAGCATACATAATTCTTTCTACTAATAGAATTGTATACGTATTTTCAAATGAGATCCAACATACACATTGAAGAAATATATATTTGTACTGAGGGGCCGTAAAACGTAAAAAAATTGTTATACTTTCATTTTATTTCGTCATAAGTTGTTAGAGAACAGAAAAGTAAAATTCATGACATAGATGTTATACAGACGTGAGAAGAGGCAACAGAAGGCATAAAAATGTTTATAGTTAGCGATGTAAAGAGCGTAGGACATTTTCTAATGTTTTAAAATATATGTCAAGTATAAGGGATAAACGAATAGATTGGTATCCGTGATATATGTTATTTTTTCAGACAAAAATAAAAAATGAACTGCATCAAAATTTAAACTTAACCTCAAAATCTTAATATTCGTGTATAACAGCTGAATCTCTACATCAGAATAGTAAACAACGAAAAGCAAAATGCTATATTTATTACATTATTTCGGCGGCACATGTAATAGATTTCTGTATTATTTCGCAATATTCGAAGACATTACGCCTACTACTGGCTATTAGATACTCACTATTACAAAAGTTTGAAAGAGTGATACAAAAACAACAAAACACAATTTCATTAGTACAAACTTAACTTGCTTGTAAATAGTTTGATTTATAGAAAACAACATGAAAAGATTTGAAAAAGATGATGCAAATGAATTACAAAGTCATTCAAAAAACTGAATTATAAAATGATTCAGTTTTTATTAGTTTGTATTGATAGTTACGTAGAGTCTGCCAAGGTGTGGGTTTTGGTGTGCGTTGGGACGTTGGGTTGAAGTTACACCGGTACACTTGTGAATAATGTTAGACACTGGTAGAGTTTTAAATAAGTCACTCCAATAACATAATTATATAAATTTTCAATTATTTTGTTATTCATGTGGCTCATGAACTCGAACATGGCTTCTAAAGAAAAGCGATGAATTAGTTGTAAGCAGTCACGCAGAAAAAATTCAGTTTTATTCTTGACTGATGAATATATCTTGTATTTAATACTAGAGTTAGATTTTTTGATTGTGAGTTATGCGTATATTATTTCAATTCCCTAATTACTGAATGGTTTTGATTACGATCATTTGAGTATTTTCAAACAAGTCTGCAAGTAGTGCACTTTCTTCAGTGTCATTCAATCTGCTGTCTTTCGTCACTAACGACTGCTACAAGTTGGTATTCTCGTTCTGCAGACCTCTGTTGCCTTTGGCTACTACACTTCGTAATCAAAATCATCACCGTTCGTATTGATATCATATCTTGGGACAGAACATGAACGATTAACTTACAACAAAGTATTGACTTGACTTATGATTCAAAATCAGTTGATTTCACTGTGTTGATGGCTCAATATTTTCTTCAATTATTGGAACAACAAAATCATACTGTCATAAATGGCATTGAATGGTCAAGAACAACAGTATGGCAAGCAGTCTGCCGAATACCGTGCTTTATGAGAGAATAAGCTACTATCATCTCTCTCCTTTCTTCCATTCGTCTCTGTTGGACACATGATGAAATGCTAATCTGTGCATGCTATTCACGATGTATTCACTTGTTTTCTACGCCTTGTATGTATAGTAGGTGAATGTATTCTTTTGTCACTGTTGACTAGTTTGTTCGATGATCCAGTGCTACTTTTCGGTTTCTGCGATTTCTTCTCCAACATAGTTGATTCGCTCACAAATTCATTCATAGGGAGCAGTTGTTTTTTTTACCTCTGTAATGTGCAAACACACATTTGTATGACTGAATCGAAGCCAATTACTCTGACTGCCGACAGACTCGAAGAATGGCAGAGTGAATAAGAAAACAGTGGTGTATGATGTGTGCAATTACCGCTTTCCTCTTCCTTCTCAAACTGGTTTTTTCACTTGATTACCTTTTATACTCAAAACTCAGTCGAAAGATTTCTGATGGATACTGTCTCAATGTGTCATTATTTGTATGTAAAAATAGCAGCTCATTCGGATTTGCGCAGTTCGGCAAAGATTTATATTGAAAAAAGAAATTGCGTTCTTCCAAAATAGGCTGCAATCAAAGGCAAATAGGCATGATTTTTTATGATCGGAACTACCACTGTGCACAGTTCCTCGGCATAATGGCGCACATGTATAACAACATACGTTATATATAAACAGCAAGTTTTCTATACAGAAAAGCAAATTAACAATGAAAAGTACCAAGCGTATCATTGCTGTTATCACTCTCATCTTAGTGAACCTTTTGGGTAAGTTGATATTAGACATTTTCATTTGTTTTAAATGAAAGATATGATCTGTTTCAGCTTATGCCAACAGTACATGTCCACTCGTCTCTTACACGCCTGCAGCAGGTTGCATTGCTCCTAACTCAAAAGAACAAGTTGTTCGGATTGCTACTGGCTTCCAGGCATCAATGGAGTCGATCTGCTCAGCCGCGATTGCATGTTCAATCCGACTGTATATTAGTCAATCATTTCGTCTTAGCAGCTCTGGCCTGCAAAATGTTGTTTACGAACCAGCACCTCATAGCAATCATCTAATCGGCTATGCTATTGATATGAATACGGTATCTGCTAATGGACGTCTCTGCAATTCTGTTTGTTTGAGTCAAACAACAAAATTATCATCGGATGTAATGTGTTTTCTCACCAAAATTCGAGCATCGCCACCATTACGTTATGGAGGCGACTTCAATACTGAAAAGAAAGATTGGGTGCATATTGATGCGGGACCATTTTATCAAACGAATCCGACAGGCTATATGACCCTCTACAGACAGATTCGACAAGAATGCTTTAGTAGCACCGGTCCAACACCGGTAAGGGGCTTTTTATTGTTCGTTGAAATACATGTACGCAGAACACTCGCTTTTTCAACCATTCTAGAGACCGACGCGTGCACCAACTCCTCCACGACCAGGGTCTGGTCCAACAACACCTCATCCAAGCAACTGTGATCCGTCAATCTCAGATTGTGCGAGTTTCGCCCCTACGACTCCCTGTGAAGATGACGATTGTCTCGAGCCAACGTCTGAACCTGAACCTGAACCTGAACCTGAACCTGAACCTGAACCTGAACCTGAACCTGAACCTGAACCTGAACCTGAACCTCCTGGCGACTATGGCGATGGTTGGGAGTCGGCCAAACGTCGACGTCGCTCAGTCGGTATGAAACGGCGGCTTCGCGAAGCGCTGCACCGACGTCAGCCTCAATGGCGTCAAGCCAATGTATTTTCTTTGAAAAAAAGACACATATGATCTTGAAAAATATTTTTTGTATTATAATTTCTCATTATCGGGCATTCATGATACTAAGTGCAGTTTTCAATAAATGACAATTTGACTGATTACTATTTGCTTGATAGTTGATTGAGAAATAGTGAAAAACCGTCATGAAATTATCAGATCAAAGAGATATGTTAATGTACTCTAAAAAATACTTATTTTACAAAATAGTTACAGGGAATGAAGATTTTTGAGTCATTCTTTTAAAAGCAAGAAGTAAAATACGATTCGGTAGATGCTTAGATTTCCAGCTTGCGATATTCAGTCATTTGTTTCTCAAGATAACGTGGTTTCATGATTAGGCTGTTCAACTTTTATCTTAAAAGTAAAGAGATTGAATTCCGGTGCCAGCAAGTAATATGATGAGGGTGCGAGTGTTGGCGAAGGGAAGACTAGAACTTGTATCTGCATGTCACACCAACACCAACAACCATACCAAAGTCGACACCCTCAAGATAACACAAGACATATACAGCACAAATATCAGGTACAGCTTTTTCAAATTGATATGCCGAAGAATTAATGGATAATACAGATAGGGAAAAAAAGAAGCTGAACAAAAAGCAAGATGTTTTTTTTCTTCTAGGAGAGATGTCTTTCTTTTCTGTTGTCATCATTTATTTTACTGTTCCCTTTGTGTTTTATCTTCAAGTGATCTTTGTCTCAACGATCAATAATGTCATTTTGTAGGAGGAAAATGTATCCAACCTTTTTTTCATTTACTCTTGAAATTTTTGTTTAGCTATTCCTTTTTATACCTGTACGCAAACATATACATATGAGCCAGTCCACGTAAGCCACGACCGACCGCGCTCAATCGATATCCTCCGATTTAGCTCATTTTAATATATGTGATAGAGGCAAGAGTTTGATGA